ATTTATATATTTCCGCTTTTATTTTTAATCGTCAGTTTCGGTTCTCCGTACTGCAGAAGCCTGATAATCACCCATTCATTCAAATCAGGTGTGTTTGAGCAGAGAAAAAAATAAAACATGCAGGGCTGCGACCCTCGAGGACCAGGATTGCCCACCCCTGCTTTAGACCCTCCCAACTTCAAGTCCCAGATTATAGATTTAGTCCTTTCTGGTCGGAGACTTTATGAGGCGGAGCTGACGTTCTTAAAAACGAAGAAAAAAAAAAAACCCCAGGGGAAATTCAAGTCGCTTTTAGTAACTTAGTCCGTCACCTGTGAGAGACGACGGGTAGGTGAAGCGACGGGGGCGGCATGCCGGAGACCCGAGATGACGAACCGGGTCATTAGAAACCGAGCGGAACCAGCCTGTTGGACGATGGAAGAAGAAGAACTTTGACACGATCCTCCGTCTGCTTCAGGGCTTTAAGAAGATGAAGAAACGTTTGGTCCCCGTTTTGTTGCTCTTCTCTGCCGCTCTGTGTCCGCTGCTGGTGGACAGCAATCAAGCCACGTGCGAGGTGAGTCACACAGGGGTTTCTCAATTGGAGGGTCGGGGACCCTGAGGTGGGTCCTGAAACACTAATCAGAGGGGGCTTCTGGAGAATTTAAAAAAAAAACACTTTTAAAATTAATTATTAATAACAACTTTACCACACTTGTCATATTGGAGGAAAAACAAACAGTCAATGTAAAATGTTGATATAAGTGGAATGTGTTTTTATTTTATTTAAGGTAATGTATATTCTTCAGTGTCACAAGTTTGACAGTAAGTCGACCTCCAGACTGGAAACATACTCTGGGGCAGTTTTTTTTAAATAATTATATTTTCCAATGGTGCAGAATGACTTTACTGCATTAAGGGTCCAATGCAGGGATGTGTTTTCTCAGACTAAACACTAATGGTTCTTCCAACATGACAATGACTCAAACCCCAGAGGTGTCAAAAGTATTCACATTTATTGCTTAACTAGAAGTACAGATACAAGGGTTTAAAAATATGTTTTTAGAAGTAGAAGTATCAGCTCAAGCTTTTTACTCAAGTAAACTACTTAAAGTTTAAAAGCAAAATAAATGTAAGGAAAAAAGCCATTAAAGATAAAAGATCATTCTGTGCCACAGGTCTAGTGCACAAACCCACCTCTCCCAAAAAAAACACGTTTCTAAAGACAATGACTATAATGTTATATTAAAATGTTAATGTTGAAAAATGTAGGATACACTAGGCCAGTGGTTCCCAAACTTTTCAGCTTTTGACCCACAAAATACCAGCAGCAGAGACCTGAGACCCCAGCTGRTGTTGGTTAATAAACACTGTTTTCACATCAGATAGACAAGGACATAGTAACAATATTCATTAAGCTYTTTTTGTCCAATGTAAATACACTAACCTTACTCTTATGTAACAACAAAGTCATAGAAAGTTTGTTAGTTTTCATTTTTTTAGTGTAACAGGACCCCACTTTTATGTTTCAGGACCCCACTTTGGGTCCCGACCCCAACTTTGGGAACCACTGCACTAGGCTGTTTAAGCTGCAAATACATACATTATATACAGTATCTGCCACAATTATCTAGGCCAGTGGTTCCCAAAGTTGGGGTTGGGACCCACAGTGGGGTCCTGAAAATATTTTCTGAAATAATCGCACTAAAAAATGACAACATTTTTTGCCTTTGTTACAAAATAGTAAGATTAGTGTACTTTAAAATGGACAAAAATAATGTAATAAACAATGTTACTATGCTCGTGTTTATTTTGTGGGTCAAAAGCTGAAAAGTTTGGGAGCCACTGATCTAGGCTACAAATGTCTGCTGTGTTCTGCTGGAGTGAGACAAGATTTGTGTCATAGGTGTGATGGATCATACACAAACTAATAGGGTGTCAGAATGGTATATATTTATATTTTTCATCCAACCAAAATTAAATTCACTCTATCCAGGAGGCACCATAAGGGAGGATATAGGTATTTTTCTGAGCAATGGCAAGAAATGACAACAAGTCAAAGTGAGAGAGTAGAAAGTATAGATAATTGCAAAAAAAAAGAAGAAATAAAAGTAAAACTTTGTCTGAATAATAATTACTCCAGTAAAACATAAGTAATTAAAAATTCTATTTAAGTAATAAAGTAGTTTCTCTTCACTACTTGACACCGCTGCACAACACAATGGAGTTTAAAGGTCATGACACAGCCTAGGCTCCAGACCCCAGTCCTGTAGAAAATATGCATTGAGAGCTGTAGCTTTGAGTCACCAGGTGACAGGCAACAAATCGTGCATTTCTGTAAATCAGAGTGCACCAATATCCCTCCTGAGCTGCATGCAAAAAAGCTGACTGACTACAAGAACTGTCTTACCTACGAAGATTTCTCTACTAGGTCTCGTTGTGCTTGGACATCAAATTTCCCATTTCAACCAATGTCGTGGAAATTAACTTGTAACGTCACTGTCTTTTTTTTTTCTTTCTGAACTTTGAGGCAATATGTTTCTCCTTCAATTCAAACTGAAATACCATAAAACATTTATTTGTGAGTAAAGTTACAAACTGATCAGGAAGTCAAATATTTGTTTCCTCCTCTACTGATAACTTCATTGGAACACACTTCCTTTATTTTATTTATGTTATTCCTTTAACTTGTGTTGTCTGTTTTCCCTTTATTGTTTTAGATGGTGAATTCAACTGGTGAGTTTTACCATTTCTATAACTTTTCTCTGATTAAAAGCGCTGCTTCATCAGCTCATGTTTAGACCCTAATGCTCTTCTCTGTGGGGACAGGTTTTACTGAGGATCAGTGTCCCATAAAAATGACCCCTGTCCAAACTCGACACACCAAGGAAGGATACTCTCAGTGCATCAGTGTTAGTGTCTGGATGAAAGCTGGAGGTACGTTACCCAACTTTAACCTCAAATTTATTATTATTGTGTTCACATATTTCGTCATCTTTGAAGCAGCTGATGTTTCTGACAAAGTCTCTTCCTTCCAGACTTCCCTTCAAAAAAGTCCCGGAAGGTTGAAGTGGGATTCCTCTCAAATGAGATGATCTTCAGACCTATCCAGAGAGGACATTCAAACCAAACACAGGTCCCTTCTCTACCATCTCTGATCATGTTTAAAATGTAATCATGAGTTTGCAGTTCATATAATCATATTCTATTTTCTGTTTTACAGATTTACAATCAAGACAAAGCCAGATGTCAGGGACTTTCCAAGCATCCATATGCCTTAGTAAGATGATAAAAGTTTTTAATGAGCCCTAAAGCTACAGAGAATGACATCATGTAAATATGACAGTAACGTGTTTTTTTTATTCTGTTGTGAAAGGTGAAATATAATTGTATCGAGGCTGAAGCTAAAACGACTGTTTCTGTGTCGTACGACACAAAATGCAGCATGTCTTATACAGTAGCAGGTGAAGTATTTTAATTCTCTGCGCTGTCATCTTTTTCCTTCTCCTTTTTTTGTCTTTTCGTTTACTTTAATTTTATAAGAGCTCCTTGTATGGCACAAACAGGATATGAGACTCAGGTATAACAATCTTGTTATGGATGAGGAACTAAAAAGCGTAAAAGTGCATTTTAAGTGTCCCAAGTGAATGTTGGGACACTTCCTTGGAATAAAACATACACAAATCTGAAGGTAGACGCCTAACCTGTCATAATCATAATCAGACTGATTCCTATTAAAACCACTTTCCTGTTTCACATCCATTTTTATGCTCACAGGAACAATTAAACATTTATTTATTTATTTTTGTTACAATTGTAGCTGAAAAGTAATCTGCTTGAGAAGATTCCTGTCTCAAAATAAAACTACAACACAGTTTTTATCTGAGAGCTGCAATTATTGTAATTTTATGACTTGTGAATGTGCTTATATTTCATTAATGAAACACATGTTTTGTGTGCGTTTGTAATTTTAGACCCTCCGCTCGAGTTCAGCTTTTCCGTGAACATGTCGTCTAAAACGGTCTCCATCTCTTTTGATTCTGACAAAGAAGTCCATGTCAGAATCTGTGAGGAACAAACTCGTATATTGTGTCAAGGGTCGGGGCCGCGCCTGTTATCGGTAGTAAACATTTAAACCTCGATCATTTACACATTTGTGGGGATTGGAGTTTCAAGGTCTTGTGTAACATTTGTGTTTGTTGAATTAGATCAAGTCAGCTGTCCTGAACATGCCTCACATCCTTCCTTGTACCTGTATAGAGGTGAGCCCCAAGTTTAGAAAAAGGAGATTTTTATTTTTGAATGAAATGCCTGTTTTTAATGTTTGTGGTTTGTCTTGTCTTCATGAACAGGTGTATTACACCTACCGAGATGCAAAAAGATATAAAAAGTGCCCGTTTCAAAATGAAGCCATCCCAGGTGGGTGTGACAGATAATTTATGTCAGTGAAAAAAACTCGAGCTTGTAACTTATACCTTAAGTTGTCAGGATTCAGCAGAAAAACAGGAACTTTACAGTGAAGGAAACAGTGGTGTAAGTGTTTAGTTCTGTGGTGAAGCAGGTTTTTAATGCGTTACAGGAAACTGCCGTGGCTTGAATGTTAAATCAAAAAACAACACATGCTGTAAATCTGACATATTTTTGTGTTTCTCAAGCTTTCTAGCAAAACGAGATAAAAAAAGAAGAGAATCAGTCTTTTACTTCATTGACTGTTCACTACGGGATCTGTAAAAAAGGCACTTTTTGACTATACAATATTTTAGAAACTTTAGAATAGTTAAAATTAGACTTAATCGCTTGTTATTTACTTAATAATACCATGGTTTTAAAGTCAGCCATAACATGACGACATGAATAGGCACATATCGTCTTAAAAATACTCTGACGTGCCACAAGAGAAGGTAGTGGAAACTGTTCTGTGTGGCTGCGTTACAACTATCCCTCTGTTGGACCGTTTTAGACCGCTTTTGATGCACAGAGTCCAAGTCTGGGAGCTCAGCTTCCACAATCTGCACAGTTTTTAGCACCTGTGACAGATGTTTCCTGTCCTCTGTCGTGCAGCTGCTGTGTCTTGGCAGAGGATTCTCTCTGTGGTTGCTCCTGTAAATGTTTTTAAACATCTGTTGAGCAAAACCAGCCTGCTTCAAAGCTCACACTCTCCACCTCCACATGTAGAGAGGTGAGGGTTTGTTTCTCCTGGTTCTTCTGAAATCTATGATGGCCTCATTGGTTTTGGTGATGTCGAGGACCAGGTGGTTGTCTGGATGTCACTTTACAAGATGTTGACCCCTCCAGCCTGTGACAGGTCTCATCAATGAGGCCTTCTGTAGTGTCATCTGCAAACTTCACCATAGTGTTGATGGAGACAGTCCTGGGTGAGGAGGGTGAGAAGAGCAGGACTGAGCACATACAATAGCCCTGTGGTGGGCTTGATTTATGGTGTCAGATGTCGGGTATCCCATGCTGACTTTCTGAGGTCTTTTGGTCAGGAAGTCCATAAACCACGAACAAAGTGAGGTGGAGTCTGAAGGTAGGGAGTTTACGGACCAGTTTTAGGCACTGCTGAAGTCCACAAAAAGCATCCTGACAAAGGCATTTGCATACATGTCAAGTTGTAAGGATTGTTAGTAGATTACACAGATTTTCCCCCATTTTGCATGTATACATGCGTATATGGCAAACCTTCAGATTTTTTTTAAAAACATTGCTTCAAATTTATTTAAGTCCCAGAACCGACTGGCTGTAAGGAAATAATATCACCTCATCCTCATCCTCCCTACTTCTCTGTTGCTGCATCTGCTATTATCTGCACCCCTACATCCTCTCACCATGGCCGATATACTAACTGTGTTCATCGAGAGTTCATTTAGCATGTTTGCCTTCATGAATAAGCAGAATATATGGCGATTACGTGCAAAATATTGGGAGGAGGTTATGTAGGTGTAATCATTTAGCATCGGCGATGTGATTTCTGAAAGTGGTTGTGGTTGCTGTTTTTGCATCTATATTTAGCACGTTTGCCAGGCAGGTGATAACTGGCTGATTTAGAGCCAGTCACAAATAGAAGCCATGCCTCATCTCCTACGGCAAAACTCCTTTCAACACTGATTTTCTTATTTATTTTTGCATCTGGATCATTCCATTGCACCACTGCAGTTGGTGCCGGTGTCTTTCAGAGTAGTTTTTCTGGTGCGCTCCCATATTCTCCATGGTGACAGCCAGTAACACAAGTAAAATCCCCATTTCAAAAGGGCGGTCTGCATCACTCTAGCACCTGTAACGATTGCACAGCTATCTTAGTAGATCACCTGCGGCATGCCCATTAACAGCACATGCAATATTTTAGTTTGCGCAGCAATTTAGTGCTCGTTGGGGGATCTTATTAGATCAGGCCGTAAGGAATGCCTCATTCTTTGCAATTTACAAGCGAATCAGACAGTGACAGCTACATGCAAGCAACTGTTTTCTTGCATTTGGCCAACATGGACACACAATATAAGGGGTGTGGGTAAACGGGAAGGTTAAAATGGAATAAAAATACACTTTAAGGTTTTACTTGTTACAGTTTTGTAAACATCCCAGCTTTTTTTGGAAATAGAGTTTGCATTAAAAAGCAATACGTTTTTATGTTTGTATAGAAACATTTTACAGCGCTTTTAACACCTGTCATAAATCGTCTGGCAGATGTCACAGATGTTTGGAAGACGTCTGATGGGAAGCTGTACAAGTCGCACATCGAGTTTAGCTTCAGGTGTCCTGCCCGCGGTCTGAACATCTCTGCCTCCCTCTGCTGGAAGCAACACGAGCATCTCTGCATCCCCGTGCTCAACTCCACGCTGGAGAAAAAAGAAGGAGGCATCCTGGTAAATTCAGCAGCGGTGCTGAGGATTTTAACTATTTATTTGAATTGTTCTGATGTAATGAACTGTTCTGCTGAGCAGGAATTCAACACGCAGAACGTGGACAAACATCCTCAGATGTGTGTGCAGGTGAGAGTCATTTGGATGTGTGAGTACAGAAATGATCTCATTTTGCCTTTTTTTATTTGAATTATTTACCTCATTACTTTATTACAGTCTTCTCTACAAGGGAGCCTCAACATTACTTGCCTTTTCGGAGACGGTGAGAATTTCATTCTGTTTACACAAAAATCTGAATGTTTTCGCTGTTTGACTTTATTATTATTTTTTTAATCTAATTTACTTTTTTGATGCTCTTACAGAAAAACCATTTTGGAGAACTTCTACTGAAGCAGGAAGACAGAGCATTGTGGTGCTTCTTACCTCCACTGTGCCAGCAAACTTCTCAGCCCAACTTTGTGTCCTTACAGAGAGGGATTGCACGCCTAGGGGAGAAATTCACTCGCTAACAATGGTTTGTATGAAAATGCAGCACATGCAAATAAACCAGTTGGACAGGCTCCAGCTATTTTTGTATTAGTCAAATTTTAAACAAGGAAATTGTACAGTGTAAACAGTTTACAACAAAAACAAGTTGATGAATGAATAAAACAAACTAAAAGGTTAAACTGTGTGTTGATAAAACTAAATGATAAAGGCCTAATGTAGCTCAGGGAAAAGAACTCCTGTCTATGGTAGAACACGGTGGAGGTTCTGTCATGATGTGGGCGCGACGGGTTTAAAATCCTTTTAGGCAGCTTCAGTAAACATTAGGAATTTGTTATGAAGCCTCTGAATAGGCCCGTCTTTAAACAAATATTAGTTAAAGGGGCAGTTGTTTACATTAAATGTTTTCAATCATACTGTATTTGTTTTTGTGGTTGCTTTTTTTCCTTTTAATACAACCTAAAATTCCAACCTAGGATTGCTTGTGACTTTTCCTACCCATTTTACAGACCGAAAACACAGCTGATAAGAGGATATACGTGCCTGTTCAAGGCATCACAGAGAAGCTTTGTGTACAGGTAGAGAAAACACTGCAGGTTCTGCATGATTGACCATGTTTTTATGGTTCTGCACGCCACTTTTTCTCCAATTTCAATTGACGTGTCTGCAGGTGTGGCAGTCAGGCCCCGCTCTTAAAGGAAGACGGATTTTGTGCCAGGACTGTAAGACGTTAAGCATAATTAAATAAGTGCATCGACCCATGTGCTTTTTACAACAACCAGATTCTTAAAAATAAATTAAATTGCAGTTTGTTTTTTCTCTCCAGACACACACAGCAGGTGGGGTCTATATGTGGCAGTGGTTTTGATATTTGCAGTCTTGGCTGCATTCTTCGGACATTTCCTCCACCGCACCACCAAGAGTGGAACTGCAGGTTAGTTCTGCTGTCTAACATCATAAAGCTTTGACCCACGGGGTCCGTGTACTTTTTGTTAATCCAGTTTTCATTTTTAAAACAGATATCAATAAGCGAAAAATGGGTGATTGTTCTATTTTCAATGAATACTCCAAAAACAGGAAAACAGTCCCATCTTTTTGTCCTGATGCATCTCAGTAATCCAGGTAATAAATCAAACAGAAAAAAATAGTATAGGTCTTCTGGACGGGTTCTTCTCTAATGAAACGTTTCGTCTCTCCTCCAAGAGACATCTTCAGTCTGAGAGTTTCAGGCAAAATTCAGGCTTTTYAGTCCTGCCTCCATGTGGCTGATACTCACATCACATGGCTATTGTTCACACCTAATTAACACCTATTGTTAACAGGGAGTGGAGTGATACTGGCAATAGCCGCACTGTAGGAGGGGGACAACTGAAAACGGAGGCCTCCACCTCTGTTTAATGATGGATGGTCTTTCTTCACAAAAATGGCTTCTTTTACTCCTCTCTCAAACCAACGTTCCTCTCTATTCTAATCTGTTCTCATTCTTGATAGAGAGGAACGTTGGTTTGAGAGAGGAGTAAAAGAAGCCATTTTTGTGAAGAAAGACCGTCCATCATTAAACAGAGGTGGAGGCCTCCGTTTTCAGTTGTCCCCCTCCTACAGCGCTGCTATTGCCAGTATCACTCCACCCCTGTTAACAATAGGTGTTAATTAGGTGTGAACGATAGCCAGGTGATGTGAGTATCAGCCACATGGAGGCAGGGCTTAAAAGCCTGAATTTTGCCTGAAACTCTCAGACTGAAGAAGTCTCTTGGAGGAGAGACGAAACGTTTCATTAGAGAAGAACCCGTCCAGAGGACCTATACTATTTTTTTTCTTTTTGAGTCTATCTTTTTATTTTTCCTCAAACCATAAGTTAACACATTTGTTTTCAGACCAATTCAAGTGGAGCGAGTTAAATAACTAATAAGAGGCAGGTGACTGTGAATAAATAAATGTCAGTTCACTACTTGTGCATTTCTTTAACTGTGGACTGTATTTTTTTATTTTTGGTAAAAATAGCTAGTCTACCTAATTTATTTAAAAAAACGTATTTATCTAGCTACACCATAAACAGTATGATAATGCTATGAATAAAAATGCTTTAATTTAGAAGAAGCTAACCAGGCAGCCGCAATAAACGAACACCAGCTAACTAGTTTTGTCTTTATTTAAAGGTGGTATAGAATTTAATTAAAGGGGCAATATTATGTGTTTCTCAGGCATATATTTAAATACTATACCATAATAAAGTGTCTGTCACCTTTAGTTTTTAAAATGCTGTTTATGTTTAGATTTGTGTTTTAAATAGAAAATAAACTTTTAATCACTTCCTCCTCTAAACGCTTTGAAACGCTTTGGTATTCCTTCCACTTCTGTCCCGCCCATTTCGGGTGGGGGGGGTTCGCGCGTGTGCTATGATACAGTTTACTTGGCATCTAAAAATATATTTCCTCTAAGGTATTTTGAATCTGAAAAGAGCTTCACTGAGTGAGAAGTAGTTAGGAGCTCAGCTGATAGTTTAAGTTTCACTTTCAGTTCCACCCGAGAGTCTGCAGGAGTCATGAGCGGGGTGTGTGGGGTGGGGGTTGGGGAGGTGTGCTCCTTGATGAGGACGCTCGGCTTGGAGATGCACTCCAGGGGCGTTTCTGGTCCCAAAAGGCATTTCTGGTCCCCACCTGTCGTTTTGCTCCTCAGCATGGCTGCCAAAAAACGCTGCAGGATTTCTCAAACATGCATGAATGAGTCAAAGCAAGGATTTGGGCATGTTTTTATGACAGTATAACATTATAACATGATACAAAACTCAAAAGTTGATTTTACATGATATTGCCCCTTTAAAATACTAGGGCTTTGTATTGGCAAGAATTTGTTGAGACGATACATATCATGACACAGGGGTCATGATACGGTATTTCATGATATATTGCAACAATATAAGCAAGATGATTCACACTTTTTCTCCAAAACATATACTTTAAAAAACTCATTATGTTTTATATTTTGTATTTCATCCATGTTTCCAATAGTTAGGCCAAGTGTACCATTGATAATTTTTGTGGCAGCTTTTAGATTCATAATATTAATTTATTGTAAAACATATATAAAATATAGAACATCCCAGCTAAAAAGGGACAGCTGGCAACTCTACCTCAGCTTTGAAGGCAGTGGGTGCTGTTCTAACCCGCTCAGATCAGCCGTCAATACTTACTGCTAATGTTTACTCACAACGCTAATGTTTGGGCTAGCATAATACTCTTTGGCTCTTTAGGAGTGGAGGGGTAAAATAGCTGACTGACTGCTGCCAACTAACTGTTGGAGGCTAAATTACAACACAAGAATGAACAAGAAGTTTACATTTTGAGCCTTAATTAAAAATCGATAGTGCTTTAGAGAATTGATACATTATCGAGAAACGAAATATTGAGATATTTCAGTGTATCAAAAATTTCTTACACTACTAGAA